AGAAAGACCTTACCCTCTGGATCCCTTAGCTCATAAACCCTTTCATCCAATGCTTTCTAAAAGATTTCTCTCCAAATGGTTCAACACATCCACTCCCTTACCTCATCCAGTGAGATCATCTCCGTTATGGCCTCTTTGATTAAGCCCTCCTGCATAACTGTGTTCTCGTCTCTGCCTTTCCTCTTATTACCCGCCTTCAACACCGTTTGGTAACAGGTCCTAGCCAACTGTTGATCCCCCGTGACCTCACCTACCAACTCTTCCACCGGGAATCTCATCTCATGCAATATGTTGATACTGCTGCCTGAAAAGAATTTAAGATAGGCCGCCCCACGATAACATTATAAGCCGACTCCACCTTAACCACCACGAACCGCACCATCTTCACCTTCCTGAGAGGAGGAGCTCCCAGCGCCATCGTCAATTGCACCTCTCCAAGTGGCACTACCTCTGCCCCACTTAAGCCAAATAATGATGTCTTGATTGGGGTGATCTCCACACCTAAATCGTTCCGCCGAAAACACTCGTAGAACATTATGTTAGCAGAAATGCCCATATCCACCAGAATCCTCTCAACATCATAGCCTGCAATCTCTACTGTCACTACCAGAGCATCGTTATGGGGAACTAATATGCCCTGTGAATCTGCCACACCAAACTTCAACTCTGGCATGACATGAGCAATCTAGACCTCCGCTACACTCTCCCAATCTGCTATTAAGTTAGCTCACCTAGCCCCATTGGAATCCCCATCTATCGGCTCCCCAACTATCATATGGATCACTCCCCTCTTGGGAGGTCTCTCCCCTTGCTCATCTTGCCTCCTTTCCTTTTCTCCTCCCTCAGCATCATCTCTCTCTCCCTGTCTTGCGCTACGAATTCCTTCAAGTGTTCGGCCCTTATCAGTCTCTCGATCTCATCCTTAAGCTCCTTGCAGTTGTTCGTCCAGTTCCCATAATCACGATGATACCTACAATAAGGATCACCTTCTAAAGGCACATTTCCTGACTTCTTAAGTAAGGGTTGAGGTTTGCCAAACATCTTAGTTTCTCCATGCCTCTCCAACATCTCAAACACCTGCCCCCTTGGTGATGTCAATGGAGTATAGTGCTCATACCTGTACCCCCTACGCCCCCTATCATCATTCCTATAATCTTTTCCTCCTGACCTTCTGTCATCTGGCCTGTGTTTTTCGTCCTGCTTCTTTCCCCGAGCCCGATCATGCGCCTGGAAATCTTCCTCCGTTTCTTCCATATTCATATACTTGGTGCACCTTTCCAACAATTCATCATAGGATCGGGCAGGCTTTTTAGCTAGCGAATTTCTGCAATGGCCTGCCTTCAACACCCGTGTCAGCCCCCCGGTTTTGATTTCTTCGGTCGCCGTGGGTACCTCCACACACGCGTGAGTAAACCTGGCCACATACTCCCTTAGGGACTCATTTTAATGCCGTTGCATGTTCATAAGGGACATATACGTCTTCTTATGTTTCCTCGCGCTAGAGAACTGATTGATAAATAGCGAACTAAATGCGTCGAAGCTGCGGACAAATCCTGCATGTAACTGATGGAACCAGTCCTGAGCCGGACCCTTCAAGGTTGCCAAAAAGGCTCTGCAACAGACGCTATCGCTATATCGATGTAAGACCGCGACATTCTAAAAACTCCACAAATGCCTTGCCGGAGATGAGGACCCATCGTAATATATACTCGGCTCCCTAAAATTGTGCGGTAAATCGCACCCAAGACTTCATCAGTGAAGGGATGACCTTGCATCCTGAGATGACGCTTGCCTTCCACCCTTGCTTGGAGCTCTTTAATTTGGTTCGCCATTTGCTCCATCATCGTATTCCTAGATGGCCTCGGAACTATTGACGATATCATCGACCTTTTCTCTTGCCCATCCCTACGGTGACTACTTCCTCTTAAAGGCCTAGACAACCCGGGGACATGTTGCTCGATCCTAGCAGCTGGCCGCTCCCCAGCCACAATAGGTCGTTCCACAACCTCAGCGGATCACTCCGCCTCCGCAGCCGGCCCTTCTATTATCGCGGCAGGCTTCTCCACTATCACCGCGTCTCGCGTAGCCAATGCCCGACCTACCGCCTCCGCGACGATGCGATCCAACTCTCCTCTAGTCATCTGCATCACCGGCCCTCCACCCTTCGACACTACTTCTAGCACCGATGTTCATATCACCATCTCCTGACCCGCTCCTTGGGTCGCCAACCCCTTCTCCTGATTCGATGGGGGAACTGTGGGTACCCCTTGTATCATAATAGGGGGTGTAGTCATCGAGCTCTCTCCGACAACCCATCCCTTCGGCAGCCCTCCACCATAGGGCGTCTTCGCTACCCATGCCTCATCTAAACTATCATTCAAGTTCCTCCTTTATTGCTCATCCGCGATCGTATTCGTCATCCTCGTATCCTCAATCGGTAGAAGAAAATAGTAAGTCCCACAAACGACGCCAATTGATGTGCTATTGCACACTTGACCGACCTTCCTTGGTCTCCACCCACTTGAGCCCTCCAAAAACCTGCAAAGACGCCGGGAAGTGTTCCCTGTGGTAAACCTCCAACGCTCAAGTTAGTAGGGTATCGAGGAAAACTCAGTTTGTATATTAGGGTTTTTGTGAGTTAAAAACTTAGACCTTACCGTCATACCTGATTCACCTATTTATATGTAATTCCCTAGCCTTCTCTGCACGCTTTTTTCTTCATTCCATTCGTTAATGTGCCAGCCTATTAAAATGTCAGCCCACCTCTTCAACCTGTTTGGCCCATGCACCTAGCTGAGCCGTTATTAGGCTGAGCCCACACATGTTGTTAATGGTCCGAACCTACACCTTGCTAGACTATTGTATCTGCCCGACCAATAAACCTACCAGCATCACTCCGGCTTATAAAATCGAGCTGATTTCTGCCGGTCTACTCAAAATGCTCTCTTATGCTATATCAAAGAGATCTATATGTTGCCTCCCAAAGGTTATGATAAGGCACAGAAGGGAGATGTGTGTCTTCTTAAAAGGAGTCTCTATGGGTTAAAGCAAGCTAGCAGACAATGGAATTTGGAATTCTCTGATAAACTTCTTTCTTATGGCGTTGCTCAATCTCCGTATGACCACTACTTGTTCTATAGGCATTCATAGGGAAAAATTTGGCTCTTCTTATCTATGTGGACGATGTTTTGATTACAGGTGACAAAATTTTTTTTCTTACGTTAAGCCAAAAAATGAATAATGAGTTTGAATTAGCGAATCACTACGATAATTACATGTCCGATCCTACTATTATTTTATTTGGGTGTTTTTATGAACCAGATAACCACTACATGCCACACAGCTAGAAAGAAGTTACTTGTTTAACTGACATAAAACATCTTAAACATTATCTTGATCAATTGTTCACCATCAAAGATTTGGGAGACGCTAAGTATTTTCTGGTGATATAGGATATTATATACACAAGGCTAAACCGGTCTATTTAACTGGTCGAGGAGATCAAACCCGGAAGAAGCCAAGCCAAGAGGCGGAAGAACCAATCATTCAGATAGTCAACCAGGCAGGTAGTCGACCAATCCATCGTTCAACCAGATAAGCGATCGAGCAACTTATTCGACCTCATCAGGTCGATTGCTTCAGAGACCCAACAGTCGGCCTAGTCACAAGCGCGGGTAGGAACCTCTAATCGAATCTCAGGCGAATATATACCCCATGTTCAGGGGGACACGTGTGGAGAATGCATTGGTGGATATCGATAACCACCTCTGACAGCTCCCTAACGCCCCCGTGCAACCTCTGACATGCGCGTGGTGTGTCAGAGTATGGACGGGCAGCTTGGGCAGCCAGCTCATCTTATCCGGGCAGCTATTAGGGCAAGTATCTCACCCCTATATAAATGGGGTGAGACTTTCTCCCTTAAGACATTCTATTCATTCTTCACTTAAGTATACCCATACACATACTGACTTAAGCATCGGAGGCTCTTCACCGTACACAACCCCCGGTGTGAGAGTTACTTGTAGGTTTCCGGCATTCTACCGGCAAAGACAAAGACCGATCCGTTCCAAACCGGACCAGGACGCTCACAATTGCATTATTGGCGCCGTCTGTGGGGATTCTTGTTCGAAAGGTTGTGTTTGAAGCTCAACTATGGCGGACGGAATTCCTAGAACCAACTTGCAGTCGACGTTCGACGACGCTTGGACGATGACCAGGCCGATTGGACAAGGCCCTCCTCCTGGTTTCTCTGGCCCTTCGCGAACGCCGGTCACTCCTACACCCATCCTTCAGGGTGTGGGAGCGTCGACGGCGATCCCTGGAGGAGAAGCTGGATCCAGTCGCGCCCAGAAAGCTCGCGCAGCAGCTGAAGCGGCGATGCCACAGCCGCCGCCACTGAATCCGACACTGGTGCAAGGAGGAGCGATGGAGCAAGGAGGAGCGCCACCACAGGCAGTCGTACAAGCTCCCGGTCAGCAAATGGTGACGATGACCCGGGAGGAGATGCAGAGGATAGCGGCGGCCGCAGCGGCGCAGGCGGTGCAACAAGTTACGAGCCACACATCTCATGCCACCACTGTGCCGGCCACGGTGGCCGGAAACCAAGATGAGGATGTGTCCAGTTATGGAGAGGGAAGAGCTGGAAGAGATCGGGCAATGGAGAGGATGGCGAAGCAGTTGCGCCAGTTACAGGACAGGGTGGAGGGGAGGCTGGAGAGGAGAGCTCGAGGACATCCCTTTTCGAGGGAAATTCTCGCCGCTTTTTTGCCGAATAATTTCAAGGAGACCAACTTGGTGTATGACGGGTCTTCTGACCCGTCGAGGCATGTGAGGACCTTTGAGAATATGGTTGTGTTGCATGGATATTCTGATTCTGTTTGTTGCAGGGCGTTTCTATCGACCTTGCGCGGAGGAGCACTTGACTGGTTTCATCAGTTACTCTCTGGGTCGGTTACGGATTTTGAGGACTTTGCCAGCAATCTTACCAATCAATATTCGAGTGCGGTGGCGCATGAGAAAACGTATTTGACGTTGATGGCAATGAGACAGGGGGAGAAGGAGTCCTTGAGGAAGTATGTTGCTCGATATAATCAGACGTGTTTGGAGGTGCACTCGGCCTCAGATGAGGTGAAGGCGGGAGGACTGATAAGAAGTCTTCGAGTAGGGCCTTGTCGAACTTCCCTGGCAAAGACCCCTGCTCGATCATATGAGGAGGTCTTGAAGCGTTGCAGGAAGTATATTAATTTGGAGGAAATAGAGTTAGAGTTCGCAAAGTTGGAAGGATCGGCTCGACCAGAGCCAAAGAAGGAGCAAAGCCCACCAAGAGGGAGGTCGCTGAGGAGGAGTTTGCCCAAGAGAAATGGGTCAAAGAAGATATCACCCAGGAGGGAAGGTCGAGATTCGAAGCGAGAGAAGAGGGACGATAGGCGGCAGGGAAGGCCATTGTTATTCGAAAGACATAGTTACCATAATTTTACACCCTTGAAGAAAGATTTGACTGAGGTGCTCGAAGCTATAGAGCAGAAGATGTCGACCGAGGATGTGACGTGGCCAAAGACAAGGTTCACAGGACCGAGTCAACCCAGATCGGATATATATTGTCGATTTCACCGAGATTACGGCCATACCACGGAGAATTGCAGGCATTTGAAGGATGAGATTGAAAGGTTGATCCGAGCAGGACATTTGAAAGAGTTTGTGTATCATGATAGGGCGAAGGAAAAAGGAAGGAGAAGGTGTCGGGATAATTCGGAGGAAAGGAGTGATAGGGATGAAGAAGGAGATGACGGAGAGGGCCGAGGTGGTCGAGGAAAAAATCCAAGAAGAGATAGAGATAAAGGGGGACAGGGAGGAGAAGCCCCGATGAAGAGAGGGACAATTTACATGATTTCCAGAGGGCCAACGGATGGTGACTCGAATAGGGCCTTGAAGGAGCATGCTCGAGCTGTGAAGAGGAAAAGAGAGGAGGTGGGGATTACGGCTCGTATGCCGGTGATAAGTTTTAATGCGGAGGATGCCGAGGGAGTGATCTTACCGCACAACGATGCTTTGGTGATAACCGCGGAGGTTGCAGGCTTTGACGTGAAGAGGGTGTTTATTAATACCGTGAGTTCGGTAGACGTGATGTTCTATGACTGTTTTGTGCAAATTAATAAGGAGTTGAATATGGAGTTGAAACCGGTGACCAAGACACTTTATGGTTTTAATGGAGGAGAGGTGATGTCGATGGGCGAGATAAACTTGCCAGTGGCATGTAGAGTAGGAGAGCTGAGGAAGGTGCGCATGGTGAGGTTTGTGGTCGTAGGAGCTGAATCATCTTATAACATCATTATGGGGCGGACAAGCTTGAATGCGTTCCAGGCGGTCGTATCCACGTACCACATGACGATCAAGTATCCTGTGGGCGAAAACGTAGGGGAGATTGCCAGGGATCAACTCACTTCGAGGAGCTGCTACCAAACAACGGTGAGCAACAACAAGCAACTGGCGATGAGGCAGGCAAAATCGAAGGAGGAGGAGATTAGTCGACCAGGTGGGTCGAGGACAAAAGAGGATAAACAGAGAATGGAGAAGGGTAAGGAGAAAATGGATATCCATCCAGGAGGAGAAGTTGAGGAGATCCAGATGATCGAGGGGTGTGAGGAGAGGAAATTCAGAATCGGAAAGGACCTGGAGGAGCCTATTCGGTCGAGGCTGATCGATCTGGTTAGAGAGTTCGTTGATGTTTTTGCCTATACAGCGGAGGAGTAGACGGGGATAAGTGCGGAGGTGATGTAACATCGGCTGAAAATCGACCTCAATGTGAGGCCGGTGAAGCAGAAAATAAGGCACCATGGGGCGGAGATGGACAAAATTATAGAGAAGGAGGTCGAGAAGCTATTGGGAGCAGGGCATATCAAGGAGATCCAGTTCCCCGAATGGTTGTATAATACAGTGATGGTGTCGAAGGCGGAGGTAAAATGGAGGATGTGCATTGATTTCCATGATTTGGACAAAACATGCCCAAAGGACTTATACCCACTGCCCAGAATCAACTAGCTGGTTGACTCAACGGTGGGGTGCGAACTGCTGAGCCTGATGGATGCCTCCCAGGGATATCATCAAATTCCCTTGGCGAGAGAAGACATGAAGCGGGTGAGTTTTGTAATGAGTCGAGGAACCTCTTGTTACGTGGTCATGCCGTTCGGCCTAAAGAATGCAGGTGCCACGTATCAAAGGTTGGTGGATAAAATCTTTAAGGAACAACTTGTGAGGAACATGGAGGTATATGTGGACGATATGTTGGTGAAAAGCAAGGAGGAGATGGATCATGTGCGGGACTTAAAGGAAACATTCATGACTTTGAGGAGGTATGGGATGAAGCTGAATCCGGCTAAATGCTCACTCGGGGTGATGTCAGGAAAATTCTTGGGTTACTTGGTGACCAAGAGAGGTATTGAAGTGAATCCTGAGAAGGAAGTGCATATCTTAGGTGGTCGAATTGCGGGGCTGAGTCGTTTCATTTCGAAAGTGGCGGAGAAAAGTGGCCCGTTATTCAAGACATTGAAAAAGAGCTCGAAATTTCAGTGGACAAAAGAAGCGCAAAAGGCGTTTGAAGATTTGAGAGGGGTTCTGGCTAACCTTCCCTTGTTGGCTAAACCCGTACAAGGCGAAGAATTGGTGCCGTATATTTCCATTGGAGAGAGGGCTGTGAGTTTGGTGTTGCTGCGAGAAGAAGGAGTTGCACAGTTCCCTATTTATTACGTAAGCAGGGTGATGCATGGAGCAGAGATGAGATATTCGGAGATAGAGAAGTGTGCTTTAGCTGTGGTGGTAACTGCTCGAAAATTGAGACCTTTATTCTTGAACCATAAGGTGAAGGTGCGAACGAACATGCCATTGGGGGAAACACTCGGCCGGCCATCTGTCTCTGGTCGATTAGTGAAATGGGCAGTTGAGGTGAGCGAATAATCCTTAGCGTATGAGCCAAGAAGGGCCATAAAGGCGCAGGTGCTGGCTGATTTTATTCAAGAAGGCACTAAGGTCGAGGAGGAGTCTGGAGGACTATGACAGTTATTTGCGGATGGGTCTGTGGCCAGAAGCGGGGCTGGATTAGGAATTGTCCTTGTTTATCCCAAGGGTGATAATCTGGAGTTTGCGGCCAAAGTGGGGTTTAAAATATCCAATAATGAGGCTGAATATGAAGCGGTGATCAAAGGCCTGCGGTTAGCCATGGCGGGAGAAGCTCGAAAGGTGCTGGTACACTCCGATTCCCAATTAGTAGTCGGGCAGTTCCAGGAAGAATTTCAGGTTAAGGAGGATCAAATGCAGAAGTATGTAGACAAGATGATAAAATTAAAGGAGGAGTTTGAGTCGTTCGAGCTTATACAGATCCCTCGAGGAGAGAATGGTCGAGCAGACTTGATGGCGAAAATTTCTCAAAGTTTGGTGGATTGTCGGAGTAGAAGTGTCACTCTATTACACTTGGAGAGGAGTGAGGTCGAGGCGGAAGTGGCAGAGATCAAAGAGGTGGAGGATTGGAGAGCCTCGATCTTAAAGGAGCTGAAACAAGGGGCGATGAAGGTGGTGACGAGATTTTTCGAGCAAGGAGGCATTCTTTACAAGCAGTCGTACGCTGGACCGCACTAACGCTGCGTAACCAAGGAGGAAGGTCGATATGTATTGAGAGAAATACATGAAGGATGTTGCGGTGATCATAGAAAATTCGAAGCCTTGGTTGCAAAAATTCTGAGGGCAGGATACTTCTGGCCGACGATGAACGAGGACGCGAAGATGATGGTGAAAAAATGCTTGCAATGCCATAAGAATGGTCCACTTATTCACCAACTGGCAGAAATGATGACGACGATGAGTGCCCCTATACCATTCGCCCATAGGGGGATTGACCTGGTGGGGCCGACGCCGCAAGGAACTGGGCAGAGGAAGTTCTTAATCGTGGCGGTAGACTATTTCAAAAAATGGGTGGAGGCCGAACCCTTGGCAAAAATCACGGAGGAGAAAGTAATCAAATTTTTATACAACAATATTTGCTGCAGATTCGGTGTTCTTAAAGTATTAATCTCCGACAATGGCACTCAGTTAAATGGCAAGCGGATCCGGGCATGGTGTGAAGACATGAAAATCGAGCAGCATTTTGCATCTGTTGCTCATCCGCAGGCTAACGGCCAGGTCGAAGTAACCAACCGAATCATAATGAATGGGCTGAAAACAAGGCTGGAAAAGGCCTCGGGGGCGTGGGTGGACGAGCTGAGCTCAGTACTCTGGGCATACCGCACAACTTCGAGGTCGACAACAGGAGAAACTCCCTTCAGTTTATCTTATGGGATGGAGGCATTGCTGCCGGTTGAAGTCGAGCTATCATCGCAGAGGTCAAACACATATGACTTGGCGCAAAACAAAGACTTAATGGTGGTGGCTTTGGACACTATTGAGGAGCTGAGGGAGAGAGTCGCAGTTAGAGTAGAGGCGCACAAGCAAAGGATGCGAGCGACTCACGACAAGAAGGTGAAAGTTTGCAGACTCCAAGTAGGCAACCTGGTTTGGAAACGTGTCGATGTGCTTAAACATGTGGGGAAGCTAGAGCCGAACTGGGAAGGGCCATACCTGGTCGAGCGAGTGCACGCAGGAGGAGCGTACTCGCTAAAGGATGCCGAAGGCCGATCACTTGCCAGGTCATGGAACATAGCTAATTTGAAAAAATATTATGTGTAAAATTTTTTGCTTTTTTCAAAGAAAGCTAGAAGATTAGAACAAAGATGTAAATCGCAAAGTTTTCTCAAAAGTCAATGAAGTTCAATATTCTTTTGATTTTACTCGCTTTATTGCACATTTTCTTATGCTTGGAATGCTGGTATAATTTGGATGACAGGATGTATGCGGTGTGGTCTGACTTGGAAGTCACTTGTTTAGAACATACCTTGGGGTGGGCAGGTTGGTTGAAGACTTCCTGTTTGGAACATTCCTCGCGGGTGGGCAAGTGTGAAGACCAAAACCCACCATGACTAAGGCCCTCGGGCTGGGTGGTCACTTGTTAAGAACATCCCTTGGGGTGGGTAGGTTGGTCGAAGACCTTCTGTTTGGAACATTCCTCGCGGATGGGCAAGTGTGAAGACCAAAACCCACCATGACTAAGGCCCTCGGGCTGGGTGGTCACTTGTTTAGAACATCCCTTGGGGTGGGCAGGTTGGTCCAAGACCTCCTGTTTCGAAAATTCCTCGCGGGTGGGAAAGTTTGAAGACCAAAACCCACCATTACTAAGGCCCTCAGGCTAGGTGGTCACTTGTTTAGAACATCCCTTGGGGTGGGCAGGTTGGTCGAAGACCTCCTGTTTGGAACATTCCTCGCAGGTGGGCAAGTGTGAAGACAAAAACCCACCATGACTAAGGCCCTCTGGCTGGATGGTCACTTGTTTAGAACATCCCTTGGGGTGGGCAGGTTGGTCGAAGACCTCCTGTTTGAAACATTCTTCGTGTGTGGGCAAGTGTGAAGACCAAAACCCACCATGACTAAGGCCCTCGGGCTGGGTGGTCACTTGTTTAGAACATCCCTTGGGGTGGGCAGGTTGGTCGAAGACCTCCTGTTTGGAACATTCCTCGCGGGTGGGCAAGTGTGAAGACCAAAACCCACCATGACTAAGGCCCTCGGGCTGGTGGTCACTTGTTTAGAATATCCCTTGGGGTGGGCAGGTTGGTCGAAGACCTCCTGTTTGGAACATTCCTCGTGTGTGGGCATGTGTGAAGACTAAAACCCACCATGACTAAGGCCCTTGGGCTAGGTGGTCACTTGTTTAGAACATCCCTTGGGGTGGGCAGGTTGGTCGAAGACCTCCTGTTTGGAACATTCCTCGTGGGTGGGCAAGTGTGAAGACAAAAACCCACCATGACTAAGGCCCTCGGGCTGGGTGGTCACTTGTTTAGAACATCCCTTGGGGTGGGCAGGTTGGTCGAAGACCTCCTATTTTGGAACATTCCTCGCGGGTGGGAAAGTGTGAAGACCAAAACCCACCATGACTAAGGCCCTCGTGCTTGGTGGTCACTTTTTTAGAACATTATTTGGGGTGGGCAGGTTGGTCGAAGTCCTCCTGTTTGGAACATTCCTCGCGGGTGGGCAAGTGTGAAGACCAAAACCCACCATGACTAAGGCCCTCGGGCTGGGTGGTCACTTGTTTAGAACATCCCTTGGGGTGNNGGGCAGGTTGGTCGAAGACCTCCTGTTTGGAACATTCCTCGTGGGTGGGCAAGTGTGAAGACCAAAACCCACCATGACTAAGGCCCTCGGGCTGGGTGGTCACTTGTTTGGAACATTCCTTGGGGTGGGTTGGTTGGTCGAAGACCTCCTGTTTGGAACATTCCTCGCGGGTGGGAAAGTCTGAAGACCAAAACCCACCATGACTAAGGCCCTCAGGCTGGGTGGTCACTTGTTTAGAACATCCCTTGGGGTGGGCAGGTTGGTCGAAGACCTTCTGTTTGGAACATTCCTCGCGGGTGGGCAAGCGTGAAGGCAAGTTCCCCGTAACGAAGACCTTATAGCCAG